ATATTTTTTTGTTAAATTTTAAGGTTATACCATCTTAGAATTTTCGTATTTAAATCAAAATTTTTTAGTTTAAAAATTTGAATAATGTGAAAATAATGACAATTCAATGTGGGAGTAATGAATGTTCCAGTCATTTTTAAATCGAACTCAATTAAAAGTGACTCGAATATTTTGAAAAATACTGTAAAATAAAAGTCACTGAAATTTTGTGTCCTTTTCATTTCTTTTAGATTAATCTGAAAAGAAATTGTCTTTTCTCAAAGTGATGATGTGTTATTGTTCACGGAATGTATTCTTTTATACCTTATAATTTACCCTACGGTACATAGGGTCTTAAACTACCATTAAGTTTGATCTAGAAGAAACTTAATATTATTTCCTTTTTGAAAATTATTATTTTTCTAAATTGAAATATTTCGATTTCGTTTCAATTAGGTAATAAAAAAACGTTCTTTTCGAACACCAAATTTAGACTCAAATTTATGAAAGTCTTAAATTTTTTCTAAGTAAAACTTTACTTTCTAAATTAAATGTTACAAAATATTTTTTGAAAATTGTTGAAAACGTATTAAATTTTGATAAAAATATAACAATAATAATCTAAAAAAATCCTTTAGAGTAATAAATTGTTCCTTCAAATTAACTTATTCCTTAAAAGTACTCGTAATAAATATCTCTAAATATAATATTAAAATATACTCACACTTATTATGTTTACTTATACATTAATATTATAACTAGAATTAAGTACAAATATGTGAATGAGAAAACCACAACACACAAGGAAAGCATCAAATATATTAAATGATAGCTAACTTAGATGTTTACCAAAATAATAAAATTTGAATTAATGTTTGAACTATTTTTCTTTCAATTTTATTGTAAAGAATCTAGGATACTAAAAAAAAGAAGCTAAAAATTTAATAAATACTGAGGGCGACCACAAAACCACCCGTTTTTTTTTTGATTTTCCTTTTTTTTGTTTGTTTCTTTTCATTTTGATTGATTTATGTTTTTGAATATATTGTGTATACAGTGATTCTTTTACATATTCACATATATTCACATAATTATGTGAATAACATAAAATATTTTTAATTTCGTCTTGAAAAGTATATTATGAATTTAAAATGAAGTTTTGAATGTAATGATAAAACAGAAAAACGAAAGTGTTTTATCGACTTACTGTTAGATCCAATTGTTCAAATTATGTTCTTCATATCTTTTTATAATTTTAAAGCTAAGCAATTGAAAATATTTAATCATTACGTTTGGAGTATCCATGTTCCGATTTCCAATTTTAAAATGTTAAAGATCAAATTTAGGTAAACAAAACAATAAGTATTTGTAAATTTCTTAAAACCATTTTCATAATATTATTGTAAATTTTCAGTGTTTCGCAAAATTTCATTATATTTTATGTACATATAATAAATTTTAAATGAACTTGTAATAATGTATATTATTCAAATATAAGCACCAATGTAACACACTCAAACCTGTAACTGTACGACAAGGAAATGAACCAGTCTAAGAATTTTTCTACTTACATGAATTATCTAATCGATTATTTAATTAATGCTATACTTTAAAATTTTATTTTCATTTTTCGAAATATTTCTGTGATGTATTTAAAGCCACACATTTTCCTTAATGCACATACAACTTTTAGAATAACCATTTTTTAAACTATTTAATTAATTTTTAATTATAACAAAAAGTGAAAAGTTGTTCAGGGTTAAAAGTTGATTTATAAATTATTTTCTATATACCTAGATCCCTGTATGTTGTAATATCGCAGTGACATGGTACCCTATAATATGCAATTTAAATAATTTCGTGTTTGATACTTAAGAGTCTTAACTTTTCTATTTGTGTCTATATAATAAATAATGTGTACATATATGTATATGCTTGATATTATGTGTTATAAACTCGTTACAATTTTTATTGAAAAAATATACAATTTAATAATGTATATATAAGAATACAATAAAATATCTCTTCTCTTTTCATACAAAAAAAAAAAAAGAAAAAGTTCAACACATTCTGTGTATTGTTGTTACACTGAAATGCGTATACGACAGAAAAACATTCCATTAAAAAAAAGCGAAAATAAAAAGACAACGAAAACAAAGAAAGTATAAAGAATTCAAACGAAGAGTTAATATTCCTTTGGCAAAAGGATGACTATAAATAATGTTTCAGGATTTTATTGTGGCATAATTGCCAATCATTTTGATGTGATTCGATAAGAAGACGTTTTATTAACTCTGATGGCTTTACACTTCTTTACGTTTTTTTTGATTTTCCATTTTCTGTTTTGTTTTTTTCATTCAGTCATTTTGAAATAAATTGTGATTTCATACTTGCGAACAAGATGGAGGAGTTTCACATATTGTTTATTTGCCAAAATTATAATCAAATAAAAAATGTTTCACATAATTATACTTATTTAAATATAATTATTTTTTGCTCTCTCCTTTAAAAAAAAGGTTTATTTTAAATTATTGACAGTTTTCGATGTAATTATATTTTTAATAGAAACCGAAATATCAACGCGGTAATAGCTGCGTAAAAATTTCAAAAATTTTTGTGCAGCCACTTTTTAGTGAAGAAGAATTATGGATATTCTATAATAATCACAAATCATTGAAATTAAATTTAAAGTTAACTAAAATTTATTTAAAGTTAACTAGCTATTTGTAACTTACACAAGACAACCGCCTCCACAAAAATTAGCCCGAGTCTTTCAAAAACCGGCTAAAGTCCTGGTATTTATATTCGCCAGGTCCGTAGTCCGTATAAAGAAAAATGACAAAATATCTCCACCTTTTCCTCAGCAAAGCCAGGCGTGAGTAACGGAGATGGGTCATCGTCACGTCTTCCTTCCCGTCATAGCAAGTTCTGCAGAGATCACTCGCATAGCGGCCCATCCTCCTGGCATGTTCGCTAATAAGACAATGTCCCATTATAATACTTTTACAGCTGTGTCTAGATACACTGTGTGTTTAGCGGAGAAACATCAGATCCCTGATTCGACGCAGGTCCATTTTATTAATAAAATATTAGTTAATAATTAAATAAATGTACAAAATAAACGTGTAAAATACTTCCAATTTTAATGTAAAAAAAGCATTTGTAAAACTAATTTTCATTCATAAATATAAAATTAATTTATATTCGACTTTGTCGTATCCAACAAGATTTTGATTTTCTTAAGATTCCTACTGAAATTTTATCTTTTCCAATGTTGCCCAAATTGCTATTTTTCAAATTGTGTTTCAAGTTGTGTACTAAAAAATAAGTATATAATAATATATAATAATATATTCATAATTAATGAATTAATGAAGAAATAAGTTTTATTTGATATCAATATAAAAAAAAATTTTAAACTTTTTACCGACATCACGAGATTTCAATTCACTGATAAAAATACATTCTAAAAGTTATAAAACAAATTAAATTCATTTACAGATGTGCCTTTGTACCTCATTTGCAAACTGAAAAACAAAATGTAAATAATATTGAAAAAAGAGCCTTTAACTTTTTCTTTCTAAATGAAAGCTAAATAATAAAATGAGAAAAATGTTATCGTTTAAAGAAGGGAAAAAGTTCAACTTAAATAATAATTTTCCATAAATCTAAAAACAAAAATTTTTCATCTCAGTTACTTTCATTAAAATCATAAATCGCTTCGACTCCTTCTTTATAACTTTAATATGAAAAAATTTTCTTTTTCGAAAATTTATGAAATGAAATGTTCTTAAACAATTTTAAATGATTTAAAATTGTCTCATATATTTTTATGTTTGTATTTTCTGTTCTTTACCCTTGAATTTTTATCGTATATCTCATTCAAATTTCATATATGCAATTCAAATATCAATTAGAAAAAACAAACAGAACAATAGCGTGAAAATTTTTGCTTAAGGATATTTATTAAAAAATTAATTTTACATACATTAAAGTTAAAGTGTATTCTCGAAATATCCTTGACCCTCTAGTATTAAAGCTCATATTTTTTATTAAAAAAACAAGCCGTTCAGTATTATGGAAATTAAATAATATTTTATTCTATTCTTGGCAATTTATTTAACGAATATTAATTCAACATCTCTATTTAACATTACATATTTCTTCTTTCAAATGTTTTACTTTGTTAAAAGATGAAAATGCTAAAGTTATTTGTGTATGTAAATCATAAATAAGTGGAAAATTTTTATTCCCTTAAAAAAAAGGAACAAAATAAGTAAAAAGAAGAAAATATGAAAAATTACTGAAAATATTGTAGCAAAAAAGGTACAAGTTCGTAAAAAATAAGTTAAAGAAAAATATTATGCATACATATGTATAACAGCTTTAATATGCGACCCATGAAAGCGTAGTAAACTGTTATAATATGTACTACCATTTTTTAACATGAATAATTTAAAATTGAAAACATGGATTCTGGCTGAGTTTGAAAAAAAGTTGATAAAATACACTGGGGGTAATGCTTTACAAATTAATAAAGTAAACAGTTTTGAGTTTCTGGAATTTCTTCTTAAATTTATAAGTTTAAAATTTAAAAATTTTTAATACATATTTCGAATATATGCCTTTACGATATATTACTTGCGTAACATATAATATAAATATAAAAATGGCTACATTCTTACACCGTTTCTGCGTGAAATTTAATTTGGTTGGACATAAATTCCACGTTTTTAAGCGGCTTCAAGTATAGTTTTATATTTTTGTTTAAATGCATTAATTTATTATTCTAATCCATTGTCAAAGATTTTTTTATCTTCTATTCCCATCCGGGCAGTAATTAAAAAAAAACTAACTATATATTTGTAATATTTGAATTTGTCGGAAGTTGATTTGTTTATAATGTAAAATTTAAATTTTTAAATAATTTCATAAATTAATAGAATATCTAATGGTAATTTTGTAATCTAATATGTAAATTACATTAATTTTTTTTTCCTATTCTTTTTTTTTTCAAACAGCGAATGGATCAATGCTATAACTAAAACTGTAAGTATTTGTAAAAACATGTAATTTAAATTTTAATTACATTTTAATTAATCTTTATAGATGTTTGAGTTTTAAATTGAAAAAATTCTAAAATCTATAAAGACCAATAAGTTAAGTCTGTCATACGTTTTTGAGTTTCTTTTTATTGTAATTATAACTACTACACCGTGTAGGTGTTCATTTATTTTTTTTACAAATTTTTTTATACCTCTGTAGCTTAGTTTGTAGAGCCTCCGTCTAGAAATCGGTAAATAGGTCCCTGGTTCGAGTCCAGTTCGAGGGGTAAAATTTCTCAATTTTTCTGTCTTAACTCGTTTCTTTAATTACTTTCATCCATCCATTTGTTCTGCAGTTGTATAAAGAAATTTCCAATAGGTTTTTCTTTTTATTATTTTATTATAAATTTTCTAAATTTTTCTTGTTAGTTAAAATATTTACTATTGATTAATATTATTTGTTTCAGCTTCCACCACCGCCACAAATTGAATTAGTTATGGATAAACCTCATCTGATGAATGTTTTACGGAGACCTTTAGTGCGAATTAGACGTAAGTATATAATATTACTAAAAAATTAAACTTACTAAAATTTGAACATTAAAATATAAAAAAAGTGATTATTTTTAATAAGAGCAATTTGCAAACCACTTCAAATTTCGATAAAATATGTTAAACGCAAATTAAACTAAAAACATAAAACTTTTTAATATTTCTGTTATATAAAGTATAGATGAATCGAAATTTGTTTAAAATTCTAAAATTGTCGATAAGTAAAATTATATTTAATCGCCGATGCCTTTACAAAACATGAATAATTCAAAATTATGGGATTTGGTAAATGTTATAAGCTTTAAGAGTATTTGGTATTCAACATTTTTTATTAGGTTTTTAAAATTTTAAATTTGTTATATACTTATAACATTACATAATACAAATTCAGAAAAAAAAATCAATAATAACCATTATTTATAAAAAATTATTTTATTTTATACTATACGAGTATTATTTTTCAAGGGATAAATTTTATGTATATTGCTCTTTATCATCCTGTAAAGTCTATAGGAAAAAATTAATTTTTTTTTTGTTTTTGCATATGATAGCTGTAATTAAGGATAATAATATGCAGAAAATAATATGAGAAAAAAATTAATTAACTACATATAATTAGACCTATATTATTATTTTTCGAATAAAAAATGTAAATGTAATGTAATATTGTAGAATAGTAGTCATATACAAATACTAAGTGGCTATAAAAATAAAAAAAAGAAACAAGAATAGTTTATGTATATACTTACCAAAAAAAAGGGGAAATAAAAATTTCAATTAAGTCTTAGGTTTCAACGAGAATTCGTTTACTTTTTTTTTTAATTTTTGCTTAATTAAATGAAAATTTCTAAGCGAAGTATTACCATTTTTACAAAACTTTCAATGTTATTTTTTCATCGCAAATAACAATTTATTTTCAGAACTTCTGTGGGCAACGTGAAAACTTCAATGTTGAGATTTGGATAAAGTATTCAGAGTATCGTTTAAGAATTCTGTATAACATCATTACTACAATATTAAAAATTTTGATTATAGTTCTTACTTTTCAAAAATAATGTATAAAATAAAAGTTGTTTCTTTTAAAATTTTACAACTCAAAGCCTTATTGAATAAAAATTCATAATACGCATACTAGGTTCAAAAGTTTTAAAGTTACATGCAGCTTTCGTAATATAGTGTGTAATTGCATTTGGCTTTTAAATTTATTCAAATGAAACTTAGTTTGTCCTCTATGTACCCATATACAAATATATGACAAGTGTTGCTTACGAGCAGCTTAATTTTTTTTAAATTAAGCAACACTTTTATAGACATGTATATAAAATTCATTCGAATTTTATATGTCTATAAAAAGTCAGATATAAAATTTAGATTAACCGCATTTAATTGTATACTATTGTAACATTATCATTAGCAAGAGTTTCTATAATCTATTGTTTTTCAAAATCTACAGCGAACTGAATCAAGTCATAGTGAATTTATATTCATATTTGTATGTATATATACACATACACTACATTATTGTAGGTATTAAATTATTACAGTGATTTTTCCTTATTTATACTAAATATTCTACATACACACATGCAAAGTATACAATATATAATCATTAAATTTGAAAAAAAAAAAAGAAATGAAAAATGAAGAGTAAGCGAACACAAAAAAGGTTGGATTATAATAATGGTAGAGAAGGGATAATAATAAAAAAAAGAATAACATGTCCTTCCTCTCTTTGCATCTCATTTTTTTTTCCTTTATTTTTTTTTTTGATAAAAAAAGAAAATGAAAAAAAAATGAGTGAAAAAGTTTTTTTTTATCATCTTTATCCCATTTTAAAGAGATAGGAGGCTTTATAATCGCACGAAATTATCCTTTTCTGTTTGTTTTTTTTTTTACAAAACCCTTAGAAATACAGGGTTCTGTCCAGCATTAACAATTTTTCAATATACATTCATAGCTATGAGTACAATATATTTTTATATACAATTCATACTAAATATAAAATGTTGTTGTTATTGTTATTTTTGCCTTTTTTTTTTGTTTTGATGACCTTCAAAAGTTGCTGAAGTTTTGAGGCTTAAATATATGCTTTCCGTCTGTTTTTGTTCCTTTAATTTTGTTATTATTTTTTTAGCTTTAACTTTAAACACAATGAAATACTTAGTTAACCTAACCGTTTAAGAATTCATTATAAGTGACATAGGAAATAAAGATAATCAGGAAAAAAAAAATAAGTTAGAATCTATTATTCATCCGATATATTTTTTTATAAAAATATGTACAGAAGAAAAAAATTTAATTTCCTTGAATTAATGTAGATATGTATAGACAAATTAAATGCTGCACGTACATAAAATGAATATAGTTATACACTTAAAACATATTTTGAATAATATTAAGAAAATAAAAAAAGTAATGAAACTTATAAAGAAAAAAATTTAAATTCAAATTAAAATTTAAAAATTATAATCCCAATTTAAATAACCTCTAGATACTCTAGTACGGGTAACCGAAACCAAAAGATAATGTTTCGATGCTCTTGTTTCTATGATAAAGATAAATGCATGTTTATATATTATTGCTCAGTGGCGAGTTCTGAGTCGATTTAGACTTATCATCCCGGTTTTTCCTACTAGATAAGAAAAAGCATAATGGTATGGGAATTTCAATATTATGGAAACTTCATTGAAAAGATTTAGCATTAATTATTCCCTACATGCCATTTCAAAATGACTGTCTCAACGTCAGATTGACTTACACATCATTAAAATTTGAAAAATAAAATTGTAAATTTCATTTAGATAATATAAGAATAAGACTATCTATTTTAATTAACATATAAAACTTAATTAAATTCATTGAATACATACCATCTTCTCTTTTAAACCTCAACAAAAAACAATGAAGAAGAGTTTTTTCTAAATAACGTCGCTATAAATCGATGCCCCAAATAACTCATTTGAAGCACAGAGTTTAACAAAATTATATAAAATAGAAATTACAAAAAAAAATATCTATCTTTCTGGAAATGTCCTTATATGTATACGAGAAATGTTATATAATTACATAACAATAATATGGCTACCATAAATTGAAATTACGAAAGACTATGCCACTTACACAATGTACATTTATTTTTATTTTCAAGGATAAAACAAAAGCAAATACATGTATGTATGTACAATGTTTTCAAAAAAATCTTGTAATATTTTTAACTGTAGAACCATTACGGGCTGAATTTTGCACACCTTGAACGTAGTAAACTTAATTTGCTTAATAATGTTTTAGTTTTAATTTTTATATACGCGATCTTATCGCAGGTTCAGTGTACAATTTACCTTTTTAAAAGCGCTTTTGTTTTCTATAAAAAGTTTCAATGAAGCATTCAGAGACGACATTAGACTACATGTAATTATATGTTATTAAATTTGACAAAAATGGAATATTAGTCCGAAATTAAAGATTTCAGGACAAAGAAAACTTTAGAAATAACTTAATTCTAGCTGATTATTAATTGACGAATATTTTTAATTTGCAATCGATTATTCTAATTGAAATTCTATATTAAAATCTTAAGAAAATGAAGGAAATAATTTTTTTCGTAAAAAATAAAGTAATTTTTATATTTTTTAACAATATTTATTATGAAATTAGAAAATGGGCTCAGTGAAATACCCCGTTAATTTTCTATGAGTCGTACAAAATTGCATAATCCTTGAATAGGGTTAATATTCAATAGAATTTCAGATTCAAGCCGGTAATCTATAGGTTTGTGTTTAAGTAGGACATAATAACATATTTAAATATTTTTTCATCATCTCAATAACAATATTTCTTTATGCATAATAATCTGTATTAAATTTCATAATAAAAATATAATTTTTATTGAAAGGAATCTTTTATATATATGTACATACATAAATATATAAAATATCAACATTTTGTTCTACTTCTTCCATATATTATTAATAAAATTACAAAGTTTTTATATGGGATATTTTTAAGAATTTTGTTAAATAAGCAAATATATTTTATGTTGATGAAATTTTTCAAAATAACTATGCTAGACTATGGAAAAAACAATCGTGACATAAAAAAACAAATTTTTGAAAATTCAAAGTAATAATAACTACTATATAGATTATAATTTTTATTGACAGTAAAATTTTTTTTGTACAGATGTATATGTATTAAAAAATGCATTTTAGTGGCTTGTGTTAACAATGTATACATAATGATTGTACTTAGATTTCTGGACGTTCGCCCAATAATAACAATATTTTTGAATAAGCAACTTCTTCATATTGAAAGAAATCATAAAAATTTACAATTATGATTTTGTAATCAGTGTTTATGACAATTTGAAATTTGAAATTTATTTTTAATTTATAATTTCGAACAAGTTCAATAATTAATTACAATAAAGAAAAGCTCGTTTGGTTAAAAGAAAATATTAATATAGTAAATTTCATTAGCAAGAAAGAAATTATTTTAATTAACATAATTTATAAATTAAAGGCAAACATCTCCTATAGAATTAACCTTTGAAATTATAGGCAATTCTATGTTTACCGATCAGAATTTATTGACGTAGTAATATGATTAATTAAATCTATTGTGATACAAAGAACTGACTATTTGATAAAAACACTCACAGTTTGAAATTGATTGAGCATAGTGAGATTTTTAAATAAATTCTGTATTAGAAAAAAACAAATTTAGGCGTACCTCAAAGCGCATTACGTTCAAATTAGATGAGACACAGCAAAAACAGTTCGCTTTTTGAAAACTTAACTTCAATTGCATTTTGTGATAGGCGTATCTGACTGAATCCTTGTTATTTTTCTCACTGTATTTTTTACAAAAGTTAAGATTAGAAGAAAACTATATTTTTTATTTTCAAATTAATTATTTTATATTATTTTTCTTTTTTACTCATTTTACTTTCATATTCAATCTCTTTGTCTGATTGAAATGAAGGTTTCATATTGCTTTAAAAAAATTAGTCCGATGAAATTTTATGGAATTTTATTAGATTTGAATTTCAAGAAAAAGAGAAAATAAACACAAAATTTTTAATTTTTTTTTGTGTACAACAAATAAGCTTAAAGGATAAATACACTTCTGAAATTAACGTTGAAAAAAAAAGATACTGTTTCAAGGATAAAACATTTAAAAAATATGTATTTGTTGTACCTACCTATGCCATACAAGGTAATGTATTTATTTTGCCGCGGCGTGTGTAGTACTATAGGAAGAAAACATTTGCGAATTCTCGTAATGTATATGCATTCTTTCTCAGAATCAAATTCGAAATCGATACAGCTATGTCCATCCGTCCGTCCATCTTCAAAGATTTATTATCAAAATTTTGAAGATACATATTTTATATTTTACATATATATATATATCTATGCAAATACTATTAACATTTATTAATTTCATGAGAAAGAACCCCGATGTTGCAAGGGAGAAATTAAGAACTCATTAAAAAAGAAAACCATATGCGAAGGAGTTGAATAATGCGATTTGTTTGCAGTCTTTTTTGCTATTGACATATTAAGGATATTCATCTTCTTCCAAAATATTAGGATATTAATCTTCTTCCAAAATATTTTGCTTAAGCCTTTGCTAATGAGGATCAGGTTAACACGATATTAAAAGCTTAACCACACGATCTTTGATAATAACTGGTAGTCATAAATATTTATGCGGCAGCAAGCTATTAGAATTAGAAGTAACACGAATGGAAGATGGCTCAATATGGTAAAAAATAAAATACTAATTTCTTCATTTTAATTCCATTTCCAATTGTAATCGTTTAATAGAACATCTTTAAATAAAATCTTTAAATAAAATTCACCAAAAACTTTGAATAAATACTAACAGCTGATCATATTAAATGTCATATAAGTGATTTAAAAAATTTTTCGGTGTCATTCAGAAATCGAATAGAGTTTGAATTCATTTACGAATCAATTCATGGTAGAATGCAGGGCATCACTCAGTATTTTAATTATATTTCTGTACCGGTTGAGGTGTGGAATTATCGTATTTTTCAGTTAAAACCTTCATTCATTCTATCGAACACAATCTCATCTGCTTATGCATACTAAAACAATGTGATGTATAACTAGTATTTAAAGTTACTTTGAAACAATGTAAAACATTTTTTTCTATTCTAAATTTTATTTTAAATTATCCTGTTAACTCTATCGGTAAAAATTCCAAATAATTGTGTGGTAATTGCTATATTTTTTGTGCAACAAATTTTTGTTTTTCGGTAATAATTGTTATGTCAGGAAGGATTTCAGACACAAAATTATTATAACCATTACTATTTATTCTTCATATTCAAAGTCACATCAATTTGTATAAAAAACACAATAAGAAAAATAAACAAACAGTTAACAACACAATGTTATTACAGCGTTACTTATTTTTCTAAAGGTTTTAATAACACAGTTTTTATGTAATCAAAAGTACAAAAATTAAAAAAAACAAAATTAATAACATTCAAAGCAAAAACGAAATGAAAAATTTTTAGTTGATCCGTTCAACTTTTAGAAAGAAATCATTACGAAATAAATTTCGACTCTTAAGTTAAACATTATGGTAAAATGAAACAAATAAAAGTTTCATTCGAAAGAAATTTCAATACATACAGTATTCAATACATACAGTAAATACATACATACATAATATAAAATATAAACTATGAAACTTCTATAATACAATCACGCCGCCTCATAAGAGTGGAGTGTTATTTTCTACTGATCAGTTCTAAATAATTTCAAAAACATCTTAGAAAGTATGACTTTGTATCTAAAAAAAAAATTGCATTACTGCATAAAATATTATATGCCTTATACTTTACATATAAACATACTCAATAATCACTTCGTCTTGCATTATAAATGGAAATATAAATTCGGTATCATATTCGGATAAAGTCGGTTATAGTGTAAGAGGATAAAAACTAAATAACACGTTTTAAATACCAAAAAATAATAAACAAATCTCCTTTTTTAAAATTCAACCAACAAAATTTTATGTACTAATATAAAACGCGATAATAATCTGTAAACATTGTTGTTGGACAAGAAAATACCAAATTTTCTGTCTTGATTAAAATTTTTAAAGAAAATTAAGAACCCATTGAAGTTATACAAAAAATTGATTGTTAACAATATATGGAATGAATTTTGTATTTAAAGGTTACCAAAATGCTCTTTTATAAAATAAGGACACAACAAAAATTGAAAAACCCAAAATATGTTTGAAGAATAAGATTAGTTTTTAAAATCTTTGTCATTTATTTAGATTAAATTTTTAAAACTTCTTTGATTTAAAAAAATTGTTGTTTATACATACAATATAGATGAATTTTATATTTTAAATTTTATTACTTATATTCAATTTTTAGCACTTTTCCAAAAATTTTTTTATAAAAAAGTGCTTATTAGTTTCACTCTGTTCGTCCGTCCGTCCGTCTGTCCGTGTGTCTGTTTACAAAACTTCTACATTCTTAAAGATAGAAAGCTGAAATTTAATACGTACATAGATCTTTACTAGAAACTTATTTTCGTAGAACAAAATTTTTACCTATCTCCCCCCCTCTGGAAGTTATACCCCCCCAAAGCACTAAAAATGGCCTATTTTAACTATTCGTTGCAATGAAACCACAGGCATTTTTGAAATTTTGCAAACGCAGAAAGGCAGTGGCTTGCTTCCCCTATCGCGGTATACTATAGTTAAACTTTAGAAAAACAAAATGGCCGTTCAAATTTACCGTTATCTAAAGTCCTTTTTTTCCAAATTTTTGATGTCGTTTTTCTTCTAGACCCCAGCCTGTAGAAGCCTGAAATTTTAGGGGCTTTTAGACATTAACAAGTAGTTCATTTCGTTAGAAGAAAATTTTTTTCCATCTCCACCCCCTCTCAAGTTATGGCCTCTTGAAATTTGTAAAATTTGCATTTTTGACGCCTTATATTTCTGAAACCGCAAGTTTTTTAAAATTTCTATAAACGCAAAAAGTTAACGGTAAATTCTATGACATTAAAAAATATAATTATTTTTCTTAACTCACACAATTAACCCTTAAAATCGAGGATTATGTTAACCCCTGCTTATATTAAATTTTGCTTTATTTCAAAGACTGCATAAATGGTTCATCCTAAATATATGCAATCCTAGAAATAGTTTCGTTTATAAATGAAAATAATTTTAATAGTGTGGTGGATATACATAGACTGTTTTTAAAAGCAGTATTTTCACCTGTTAAAGGGAAAAGTGCTACAATACAAACCATTGGTTTGACCCAACTTTATAATAATACATTAAAACACAAAGGAACTTATTTTGTTCAAAATCAGATTTTTTTGTTAAAATTTTGCTGTTCGAAATCTATATGAATTTAATTTTGAAATGTTGTTGAATAATAGGACATCTGACAATCTTAACTTACGGGATTAGTATTCCAATTACATTATTAAGCATATTATTACATTCAACGTTTAGGCATAGCATACAAATTTTGCTGATAAAATAATTTTAAGAATATATATAATAATATATTGTATGTATGTACTTATAAAAGTAACTAAGAATCATTTAAAGTATTATGCTTTGAAAATGAATAGAAAATCTTCAAATTTACGCCTTAATAAAATTTAATATTAATTGACAGCAGAAATATGATTTCAATTTAAATGAATTAAAAATATAACTCTTAAAATATGTAAGTATAGATAAATTTAATATTATATCGACAATTACAGATTTTCCTGTAGTAGTTTTAGGAACTACGGATTTGTAGCTATGAAAGTATGTATATATAATTGAAGCAACTTTAGTTTAAATTTAAAATGTGGTTCTTGCTTGATTATGTCAAAAAATTATTCATGTAAAGCTAGGATCTAGTTCAGCTCATTAGAGTTTAAATTTATTAAGCTCTATACAAAATTCTATATTTAATTTTAATAAAAATTTGCTTAAAATGAAAATAATTCGAAATAACGAAACAAAAATCTAAAATGAATGCATCATAAATTCAATAGAAATTTTATTATTTCAATTAACTGATGATTTCTTCTTCATTCTTTTCTTTATGTTAATTAGCGGCCACAACAAGTGAAGTAAAAGCAAGGAAATTACAATCATCATCATCATCACAAGCAACAACCTTAAATCCATTAATACGTAGTGATGCAGCTGTAGCAATATTGAGTAAAAAACCAAATGATTCCAAAGCATCATTAGCTTGTGTGCTGCCTTGGGGACATGGATGGGGTTGGGCAACATTACCTAATGGTGTATGGAGTGGTGGTAAGTAAATATGTATGTATTATGTTAAAAGCATATGTATTTAATTTTAGATTTATTCATCTTATCGAAATATTACTGAGTTAATTATCTTAAGCTGGCTCTGTTCTAAATATGAGACTTAAAGTTTTTGACGCATCAATAGTCAAACCTGGAATCAGAAACGATGAATCTTTGTTCATTTTATTTTAATGAATATTTAGAGAGTGCTTAATTATTTTAAGCATTATTCAAATTTAAATACTAGTATTTTAACATTTTTTCTTCGCTTCACGTTTCCCTTTTCGAAAACAGTATTGTACGCAACAAGCAAAAATGTGATCATACAAAATTACATATTAAACAAAAATCAATTGATTTCTTTGAAATTTAATATTCAACAACTGGACTTTTACTAAAGCCTCATATTTCTCAACAACTCTCAAATTATTAACGAAATTAAAATGCTTGTAAATCAAACTTGAAAATTAAAATAAAATTTTAGAAAGTTAAGTTCTAAGAACAAAAAGTAGACCTCACCCCATTTTATTTTAATTAATTCCATTTACCTCTTCAACCAAATACCTTGCGTCTCGAAATTAAATTCGAAATTAAAAAAATATTTTTTGTGAAATTTTCGCAGAAATTTTTGTAAAATTATAAATTTAATGTACCTATACTTATAAATTCAAACTGCAGTCTTTTTTGAATAAGATTTTAAAAATAAAATTTATTTTTAAATTCTGGAATTGCAGAAATCCTTGCGTCTAATTCATTTTAATAATATAATTAGCTTTTAATAACCTATTCATAATCACTCGGCTGTATTTTCATAATGTTTGCCTGCATAAAAGAGATAAAATTTATTCAGATTCCTTGAAGTATATATTAATAATGAGAACAAGGATTTAAAAGGGAAAAATGAGTGATTTTTTTTTTACATTAAGCAGAAAAGAAGCAAAAACATACATAGGTAAATAAAAACTTTTAGGGTAATTACGACTTTGTGTTAAAGCAAATAAATGTAATTCAATATGACTTTTATATAAACTTTCATACAGCTATTTCTGAGGTTGAATATCCATTGACTTCTTTACTATGTTAATTACAAAAGTACATAATATTAAAATAAAATAATTCGAATTTATGAAATGCAGACAACGGTAAAAAAAATGAATTATTTAAAAATTAGCTCTACTTACATAGGCACATGTGTGATGTTAATTCAAGTGATGACTACAAAGTTAATATGAACCATTTTTCTAATGAAATTGAATTATAAATTCTAAGACTCTGTTGCAACTTACATGAAACATTTTATTACATAATATTACATAATATCAAAATTTTACGGTTATGACAAAAATTTCGCGTTTCAATGTAGTTCAAGTTATTAGACAAGTTTATTTTGGTTTTGAATTCAATGGTCTTAGTTTTTCAAAATAAATTTTATAAAATTTAAAAACAAAATTATTACAAATTGGGCCGTCCCTTTTATCTTTTAAATGTCATAATTTTACAATTTATAAAATAATTTAAAGATCTCATTTAAAGCAATTGAGTTTTGTAATTTTTTTGAGAAATTGATGAAATAAACGTTTTATTAAAATTCCTTAATTAAAATGCAATTTTAAAATCCGTTATGTTATGCAATGGTTCCATTTATTTATTAAATTTTTTTTAAAGTGTCATTCATCTAAACTTTTTCTCAAAAATATTTTTGTTCAGAATTTATAAATCAGTTTGTCCTTCAATAACATACATATATTACATATGAATGTATAATACAGAAAGAAAATAGGATATCCTTAACCTTGTTAAATTTTTTTTTTTAATTTTGAACATTAAGTGGATAAAAGCAGTCATATGACAATTTTTACGATGCTCATATAATTTCACATTATTATGAAAAAATCATCACTTTTTAATTTACAAATACATACATACATATGTGCATATTTAATAGAATGATAATAATACTCATAAAATTGCCAAATCCAAAATAAAAAAAAATGTAATAAGCTAATAAAAGTAGGTACTCTTCATTTTTAAAGTAGGCTTCCATAAGAAGATGGAATTCATTTTCGAAAATTTTTACGTTCTACATTAAATATAATTTGCACAGTGCAACTTCCTTTTGTTTAACTTTCTATTTATCAAAATAATATTTTTTGTTTGGTTAAGCGTAACTGTTAATTATAATTTTACATTAAATATTCTTTGGTGCCATGAATCAAAAAAATCTAATTTTTTATCTCAACTCCGTCACACAATATCACATGGAGTACAGCATTGTTATTCAGAATGCTGTGTTTCAGCTCTCAAATTGTTGTTCGCATGTAGAATTTAATTTTCAAATAACAGCACAAAAAGTTGTCTAATTTTGCTTACCATAGGAAGAATATACTGACTAAAACATTCATAAATTTTTACAGAAAATAGAAAAAACATTATGGACCTCGTTTTCATAATTTGTGGAAAGACTATCTTATTCATGTGCAGTACTGAATAATTTTTAAGCATAACATTATGCATTATATAAGAATACCCCACTGGCACAAGGATAACCAATATGACAAGGATAACTATGTCAGATACCTGTCTGCCGCGGTACAACTTCGACCACAAGTACAGGGTGCTGTTTCCTGATCGATGGACGTGGGATCGGGGTGGTCCGGTACTTAGGTCGGGTTCGAGCGTGTGGTATGCGGACGGGTCCAAAACGGAGTCGGGTGTGGGCTCGGGCGTATACGGTGTCCGCCCGGACACGCGTGTATATGCAACCCTTGACCCGTATTGCACAGTGTTCCAGGCCGAAATACAGATCTGCAATAGAGATCTGTCTGAGAATCAATTTGGAAAGGGGGTATAGAAACCGCACCATCTATGTGTTCTCCGACAGCAGGGCTGCACTGCTGGCGCTCCGTTCAGCTCAGTTTACATCCAAGCTGGTCTGGAGCTGCCTTGCTGCACTTATGGAATTGGCATCGGAAAACAGAGTGATGCTCATTTGGGTGCCGGGCCATAGTGGCCATGCGGGCAACGAAGTTGCCGATGAGTTGGCGCGGAGGGGATCTGGGGCTGCCTTTGTGCAGCCGTTGCCTTTCTGTGGTCTGCCTTCTTCCGCCGTGGGGGCCAGGCTTGCCTGCCTACTCGCGGCGGAATGCAGTCGTCACTGGCGGGACACGAAAGGGTGCCGTCATGCGAAGGTGTTTGAGCCGGGTTCGCACTATTGCGAATTTCTTCACGGGGCACTGCCCGGTGAAATACCACCTGCACAGACTGGGGAAGTCGGGCTCCCCCCTGTGCAGATTTTGTGGGGGTGGCGATGAGACCGCCGTGCACATTCTCTGCGACTGTCCGGCACTGGCTGTTCGGCGCCGCAATTGTCTTGGACATGGGTCCCTAAGTGTTCGGGAACTATTGTCCAACTCCCTTAGGGATATCTCCGGCTTTGTGATTGGGACGGGGATATTATAGACGGGAGAGTGGGGTAGCTACAATAAGTCAAAAATGGCTGCGGTGGCTTGGGGGGATGCTCCTGTCCCACTCGGTTCCCTTAGAATCTACGAATCTACGAATACCCCACTATAACCGCTACAATAGCTGCAACATCATAATTTGAAGATTCCACTGTACATTTGAAAGGTATAATATATACCTATACATACACATAAACATTCAAGCAACAGTATAAACACCTATAATTTGCGAAAAAATATTTTTATGTATCTGTTACATACATAATATTATATATTTAAAATGAATGATTATTTTAAGTATATGTAGATGTTATTATAAAAGATAACTTAGTTGTTGAAGCATTTATAGGTGATACGAATTTTATTCAACAAAATTCTTAATAAAAGCGAAAATATAAAAATTGCATTTTTCAAATATAATAAATACTTTGATGAGAAAAAAAGAAAATTTAAAAATGAAATTGGAATATTCTGTGAAATAATTGCTTTCATTAAGACAAATTTGTTCTTTTTATAAGAGGTTATACCCTATTTAACGAAAATCTTTTGACGAATATAATTTTTAATATATAACACAAATAATTTAAGGTCGGTATTTTTCCAATTTCTTTCATTAATAAATATTCTTAGATCAAGCTTTCTCAATTTGCAATTGCAACTCAAAATGGTTCCCGAAATTTATGTTAAGACGAAAATTAACATAATATACACCTTGTCATAATAATAATCTTTTTCGTTTCTTAAAGCACCAATAAAATTTTTTACGTATATATATACAATATGTATGTATGTGCACCCATACTCATAATTTTCTTAAGTGCACACATAATTTTTATTACGTATATTTCGATTTGCATAAAATTCATGAATTTTTATTTAGAAAAATAGTATTAAAGGAAAAAAAATAGAGTTGACCGTGTCAACTCTGTGATACCCGTACGAATTTGTTATCCTATGTGCGAATAAAAATGCCATAGCTGACTATGATTTTAATTTACGCAAAATTTCAGTACTTGGTTCTGAATATTTTCTTACATATGGCCAAAATACTGTTGAAGTTGTATGGCAGCTACCAGAAAAGGCAAAGCAAACACATTGACCCTACTTATATATTTACTTGTGCGATTTTCAATACCACAGCTTTTACAATTTCTGAGATATAGCCAAATAACTTTTGATGTTGTATGGCAGCTACCCGAAGCAATACTCTGATCATGCCCAATTTAAACAGGACAAGAACTACAAGAAATCATTTGTGTAAATTTGGTGTAGTTAATTCAATATTAGTTTTTGAGTTATCGTTGGGACGAACGGACGGTCAGAGAAAACTAAATTGACTCAGAATTTGACGCTCTTAAAAAACATACACTTAAGTCTATATCTCAGATCATTATTTCTTACGCATAAGTAATTTAAATTCAGTTTTTATTATATACACCTTCTGACAAAAATATACAAATATAATAAATTTAAATGATATTTACTTGCAAACATGATAAATAACCTGTACTAAAAAAGCTAATAAAAAAAAGACTAAGCAGA